CTGTCTGCCCCCAGGGCACGTTTGTACCGTGTGCGGCTGTACTTTTATTTATGACACAGCCCCACGCCCCGACCTGTCTGCCCCCAGGGCACGTGTGTACCGTGTGCGGCCGTAGTTTTATTTATGACACAGCCCCACGCCCCGACCTGTCTGCTCCCAGGGCACGTTTGTACCGTGTGCGGCCGTACTTTTATTTATGACACAGCCCCACACCCCGACCTGTCTGCCCCCAGCCCCCCAGGGCACGTTTATACCGTGTGCGGCCGTACTTTTATTTATGACACAGCCCCACGTCCCGACCTGTCTGCCCCCAGGGCACGTTTGTACCGTGTGCGGCCGGCGCTACAAGCACCGCGACTCGCTGGTGGCGCACGAGAAGGTACACGCCGGCGTCACCACGTGCCACGTGTGCGGCGCCGTGGCCAGTAACGTCCAGAATCTACGTCAGCACCTGGAGACCGTGCACAGGATGTCACGTGATCATGTACGACAGATTACCCGCCTGCCGGGCACGCCAAGGGTCCGGGCCTCGCTGGACCCCGCTCTGAGGGGCAGGGTGTGAGGGACCGAGTGGCGCAGCGTAGGGTTGTGGAGTGTAAATTTATGACAGAGGTGGAGATGGATGGCGTAGTGGCGTAGGTCCGTGGAGGGTGGTTTTATGACAACCGACGCGTAGTGGCGTAGGTCAATGGAGTGAAGTTTTATGACACAGAGGTGGAGGACGGAGTGGTGGCGTAGATGTGTGGAGTAGGGGTTTTAATGTCGTGTGAAATGTCTCAAGTTCGTAGTTGAGCGATTTCTTTCGGATGTACATTGAACTGAAGTGGACACTGTATACCTACACATCTCAAGTGTTTGTAAGTTGTGTGCGAATGCTTCAAAAGCTTCTTGTAAGTGATTCTCCTTTATCTATAAGACCAGTTGCACTTCAATGTTGTTTGTGTCATAGTTTCGTGACTTCTTAACGCGATTGTATGCCATTCTTGGGCAGCTGGCGAGCACAAGTTTTTTATTGACATATGTGGTTTGGTGGATGCACCCGGGGGAAATCGAATTCTAGTTCATACGAAACTGGGAATCCCACGGCTGACGTCACGTTTCTCCTGCGTGACGTCACGGCTCCACGGCATTGACCCCTTGAAATTTGTCATGCTCATGCTTGACGGCGCTTGCAAGACAAACTAAACACAACTTCACTGATGTTCATTGTCTGATTCACTTAACTTCACTGACACTTCACTGACTGATGTTCAAATACAACTCGTATGCAAAAATAGACCCAAGTCATTACGTTCAATAATGTATTTATTACGTATTTAGCAGACAAAAATGTTCAAGTGCAGAAACCGCGAGGTGTCGTCAGCCGCCACACATCGATATCTTCCCCAAATCCCGATGGCGCCCTAAGAGGTGCAGCAGAAACAGTCCTGTTTCAGCGGAAACTTCGGGGGGGGGGGGGGGCAACTTGACAAAGTGGCCCCATGCCGACCCTCGGGGGCCTGGTGTGTTGGCTTAAGGAGCCCATTGATAGCGGGCCTAACCTAACCTAACATAACATAATCTAACCTGACCTAAACAACCTACCTAAACTAACCTAACCTAACTCTTGCACTTGTAGGGGGTCGAAGGGAGAGGGACCCTCCCTCGGTTTTTCGCTAATAACTCGCGTAAAAAGCGGCCGATCGCAACGAAACTTTTAGTACCCTCGCGTCAATCATTTTTACACCTACCCTGAAAATGTCATGACCCTGACCCAATGAACTTTGACCTGCGACCTATTTCCCGAGGCCATGTCTGGAAGGAAGTGCGATTCGGCGTATATCGGCTCGCATTAGCCGCGCGTTTGCAGTCTTTTCATGGTTTCAAGCGTTCAAACATGTGATATGATGTTGCCCCCCATGCAATAGGGTGGGTGTCAAGGTCACCTGAAGGACAGGTCAGGTCATTGACCTGACTCGGGACCTGACTGACTGACTGACTTTTTCGAGTTTTTCCTGTTTCTTGGCTAGTTTTTTTTTAAGCTGAAATCGAATTCAGCAACCATTTGAACATTTAGGAAATAAATGATCAACATTTAAGAGGTAAATGTTCAACGTTTACGAAGTAGCTTTGGTGACATCGTAACATATTACGAAGCTGTCAGCGGCGGTTGACACGTACTACTAATATCCGGCAGGTTGAATATACTGGTTGACCTGACCTGACCTGATCCGACCAAGCCAAAATGCATGAAGGCCATCATCTGTGATCAAAACTAACATTATATTCGTGATCAGCACCCCCGAAAAGACCCGTAGTTAGTAGCCACACTTTTTTAGGACTTTCTAACATGTCCCGATTTTCCCGACGTTTTAGTTATTGACCTGACCTGAAAGGTCAGACAATGACCTAAAACCTTAAAATTTAGCCTCATTGACTTCGTCTCGTCAAGGGCAACACGCTCGTTTTTTCCGCGAAGCTCTAGCTCGGTTAGGGGGCCAAACGGCAAGGGGAGGGTTCAATGTATCCTCCCCCCCCCCCCTTATACGTTCCCGGCTGGCAAAACACCAATACGGGCGATGGTTAAGAGGTAAATGAGTGATAAACGAACAACAATATACAATCGGCCTGTGCAATTATAATTGAGAAACTACAAATCCTTTTCACATCCTGATCTTGCATGCCACTCAGCTGAGTTTGCCGCAGTTATTCGTCAGAAGCTCATCTATGATCCAGCCTGTATCCTGCTATAATCCTTTTCACATCCTGATCTCGCATTTCACGTAGTTGAGTTTGCTGCAATCCTCCATCAATAGCTTATTATTGATCCAGCCTGTATCCTGCCATATGTAATCCTGTTCACATCCTGATCTCGCATATCACGTAGTTGAATTTGCTGCAATCCTCCGTCAATAGCTGGGGTATTCCGTGAATGTGCATGAAGAGGCAATCCTTGGTGTCAGAATTCCACTTGGTGGGCGAGCTCTCCTCCCACCAGTCTGCCGGCATGTTGGCGACCTCACCAGTCACCATGCTGACCAGGGTGCCTTCCACGGCCGTGTCTTCAAGACCGAGAAGTTTGCTGGAGCCGAAGATACTGAACGACATCAGTTCGTCCAACGTGAGAGGGATGGCAGGCGTGGACCTCGTGTCCAGCTCTCGACAACGCAAGACGATGGACGGGATGTCACCCGAACTGGTGGTAGCGGAAAGAGCGAACGAAACGCTCGAGTCATACCGCGCAAATCCAGCTGGCAGGGGACGATACCAGTCTTCGTATATGATATCCTGAGACTTGACCAACGGGTTAGAGGCAGATCGAGCTCCCCACATGTAGCAAACGCCACTGGTTTTATCCAGTTTGTACTGGATACAGTCCGGCGTAATTCGGCAGTTTCCAGCACATTGGATCACAGAAGAGACCCGGGAGGTTTTCAGCGGAATGGTGGCGTGGACAGTGACGTGGCTGGCGAATAAGGTGAACGGAACAGCGCCCGTAGAATCTAGCTGAAGAAGAGCTAGCAGCAGCAGTTTGCGGAACATTCTCGTGTTGTCAGCGGAGGGAAGATCTGTGAACGGGACGTCACGAGACGCAGTAAGAGACAAGCTGAAGAAATATGTCGCTGACGAATGATCTTGGGATGGTCTGCTGAACACAGAAGACGTCCTATAGCCTTGAGACGTCCGTGGAAACTCCGCGTGAGGCTGATGACCGGCCAAAAGTTCCGGAATTATCGTGTCCCAAACTGTCGTTTTTAAAAATATATATGATTGGTAGCAGTTAGTATCGCAATATGTCGCGATTGATTTTGGTGCAGGCCTTCTGCGTTTCTTAATGAAACAACCAGACCTTGTTTTCAGAGGAAAACCCCACACCGTGCCGATACCACCACTGCAGGAAGAAAGTGCAGCGTTTTAGAGGTCCCACTTTGTGCAGCGTTTTAGAGGTCCCACAGCAGACGCTTTCCCGCACTGGAGTGAGGAATCTGGGGCTCCAATACGCAGGCAGCCCACTGTGTATCCGTCTAGAGCCATTTCTGTGTTTATGTTTGGCGTTGCCAGACACTGATCTATTCGGGTACAACGTGTGCAATCAGTGGCCGTGAGCTGAGCAGCCGTAATAGTCACCTGTTTAATTTTAATTGGACGGTGATGACTGAATAATGTGAGGCTGTTGAATAGTTTAAACTGGATTAAATTGACATCGAAACGACTCATGAATTAGATGCTCAATGACATACATACTAAGTAGGCGACCTATAAATTAGGGTCATGTATGTATGTATGATGCACCTCGCTTAGGTAACCTTTCATTTCGGTTTGTGACGTATGTAGTAGACAGTCTAAGGCTCTAAGCACTAGACAAGACACTAGACAGGGTAAGCAGGCTAGCAACTGTCACCAATGTCAGCCTTTTGGTACGTTTGTACTTAGTTAGTAGGATCTGTTACAGTAGGTAGTACTTGGTTAATGCTAACCTACATGGTACTCATACACTGAAAGAAAAGTACACCTTGGTAATTTGAATTTGATTATTATACACCGCCATTACACCGAAATCAAGAATATTTATACCCTTGTTCGACGTATATGGAGAATAAAATAATGCTCCGGTGCGAATGTACTCTATCACGAGCGTATTCTTGGGGGTTAATTCAATCCAGTTTAACACTCATGGTGCAATTCTAACTTTTAAGATATTTACCCCTCTAATTGATGGATGGTAAAATTACTACTATAGTATATTTTCTTCAAGTGGGATAAGAATACCCATCTGATAGCATAAATTTGCACTCTGATTTGTCAGCTGATAATTCAACCCTCATCATGGTGTAAATATGCATCCTTGGTAAAGTGTGTTTCGATGAGGATGGTGTTATTTTATGACAAGGATTTAAAATACCCTAAACATGATAGTTCTGCACCCATATGGTCATTATTTTACGATAGCGTCCACGTGCGGCTCGCGAGCCTTCCGTTTCCGCCATTTTCATTTTTGTATATCTGCTCCGGACCGGAGCCACGGAGACTTCTGGCGCTTGCAAGTGATCTTCTGGCGGTTGAAACAGTGAGATAGGTGCGAGTGTGCTGGTGCGTTCGGTGTGGTGATGACTGACTAGTGCTGGACCCATTTCCGAATAACTTTGAGGGTAAGTTGACTTGATAATGTTTCGATGTAGCAGTTGATGAAATTGATTTGCTGCTGTCTGTATGCACGTCACTCACTTAGCAGTTTGTGTCAATACGTGGCATTCTGATTAGTGATTCCAGAAGCTCAAATTGACCCTCTCAGTTTGTTCTCAAGGGCAAATTGAGAAATCAGTTAAGTACCTACTGAGGTTGTTAACTGTAACTTCATCAAATGTTCAATGTGTCGATTGATCAATATATGTTTAGGTATGTTTAGTAATTTTATTTCTCTACGTTTTACAAAAGTACTAGAATCTTGGCCTGAAAAAGTTGCTAATTTATTTTGTGTATTACTTTCAGGTTTGGGGTGACCTGGCTCTCGTCGTGGGTCACGCCGGCGAGAATGGCATTAGGACAAAGTCACCTCAATGACGCGACAGGAGTGCTACACCGCACAACTCCTGCCTCCGGAGGGCGCCACACCCGTTGAAGGTGAGTTTTAAACTACCATTAATGATGACTGACGACAATTGTCCGTCTGACGGTCTGTCCGTCTGTCCCTCTGTCCGTCTGTCCGTCTGTCCGTCTGTCCGTCCGTCCGTCCGTCCGTCTGTCCGTCCGTCCGTCCGTCCGTCTCGCCTGTCTCATCCATGGGCTCCGCCACCGGGGGGAGGGGGAGGGACGGGGGACGTGTCCCCCCCCCAATATTTTACATTTGTCTGTTTCGTCTGTCTCGTCTGTCGGTCCGTCCGTACGTGACATACAATATCATTCTGTACTTAAATGTTACAGTGCTTACTAGTTATATCTTTCAGTTTTCACGGACAGACATACAATATCGTTCTTTGCCTTATGATTACAGTGCTTAACCCGCGCACCGACGGGGGAGCCCCCCCCCCCCCTCAGGTTTTGTCAGGCGGCGCATAGCGCCGCCAGATTTAGCACGACTGTTGATACATCCATTTCGCACACCCTCTGGAAATTTTTAGCTCATATCTTAAAAAAGTCAGGCCACCAGGCCACGTTAAGTGACCTCACCTCGAAACACAATCTTCGAAGTTTGCTATCTCGTTGTTGAAAGCAGATCTTGAAACTCACAGAAATGATTTTACTGATGAGCACCTACAACTCGTATATCTCAGAATTGCATATCGATGACCTACGAATAGGTCATTTTTTACCTGCCCATTATAAGTCAATGGAAAAAATTTCAAGTTATTCTTATTTCCATCAGATTCCTTTTTTATACGACTTTTTATCTCTTCTGTTCATGAGCTACGGAGTCGTTTGTTGAATGTTGTCGGTCTTTTTACGGTTACTCGCATAATTTGACCTTCGATGACCTCTGATGACGTCATTTTGAACCCTAGCGAAAAATGACCGAAGCAGACTGGTGTTTGATTCATCTGTGATTGAATCGATTGGATTGAATCAAACAAAATTTGTTGAATCAAAAAGGTTTGATTCACCGTCAGGATTGTTTGATTCACAAGCCATGATTGAATCAAACGCATTGGGAATCAGGGTTGATTGAATCAAAAAAATTAATGATTCATGAACTTAAAAAAAATTTGAAGTGAACGAACATAGTTCATTAACAACAAATATTAACAGTACTGCCATTACATGACAACAAAAAGAACACAACAAATACAATACTATCCCTGATATTTTGTATATTTCATTTTTTAATTGAATCAAAAAAGAATCATTCAAAGAAAATTGGCTGAATCAAACGTGAATCATTCTTTTTATTGTTTTTTGATTCTCTGAATCAAAAGGAATCGATTCACCAAATTTTTTGAAGGAATCAAACGGTGATTGAATCAAACAAAAATCAAATGAATCAATGATTGAATCGATCCAAAAAAGGTGAATCAAAAACCAGTCTGGACCGAAGTGCTTTTTTCATAGACCTTCTTACGAGCTTTCGAATGTCGTTTGCCGCTTCTCGCGAAGTTACTTTATAGTTCTTGAGATCTTTGGGGGCGGTCATCCACCCTCTCGTCGCTTCTAAATTGGCTCAGAACCCCTTCGGTGCGCGGGTTAATAGATTCATCTGTCAATTTTTAAGGATCGACATTCAAAATTGCTATTTTCTTAAAGGTTACAGTCAGGGATGCGGAGCCGGAGCCGGAGTCGGAGCCGGAGCCGCCGGAGCCGGCATATTTTGCCCGGAGCCGGAGCCGGAGCCGGAGCCGTGAAACAATATAGCCCGGAGCCGGAGCCGGAGCCGGAGCCGCCAAAAAAGGGGGCGACTCCGGCTCCTTTTTATTTTTTGAAGAAGAAAAAATAATTGACCTAGTTCGGTTTGACAGTACAAGGCAGTAAAACATATGGTACTTACGTCATGGGCCATCAAGTGAATGAAAAAATCCGAATATCCCCAGTATCCCACAGTACGCAAACAACTTCCTGTTTGCTCTTCCCCCCCCCCCCCCACGTCTACTGCATCCCCAGAACATGAGGACCAGTCATCAGGTGACGGCCATTGTTTTCAAACCAGTGCCGTGGACTGCGACTCCCAGCACCGTCTCATCCCACACACACCCCACCCCTCACCCCCCAATGCAGCCGAGACGGGTGTCAGCTTACGATGGTTCACTGAACTCCGATTCGCGGCGACTGCGTTTCCAATGCCATCGCTTCCTAGCCCTTTGTTCTGCCAGTTCTCTCCGAGGTGCGTTTGCGCGGGGACGCGGTGAGCCGGTCATGGCAAAGAGTAACGCGTATAACCAATCCAATTTTTCTTCCACCCGTATTTAATTGATTGCGTAGGGGATGTACTGAGTCGGAGCCGGAGCCGCCGGAGCCGGAGCCGCCGGAGCCGGACCATTTTACTCGGAGCCGGAGCCGGAGCCGGAGCCGCCATAACATTTCACCCGGAGCCGGAGCCGGAGCCGGAGCCGATTTTTTTCTCCGGAGCCGGAGCCGGAGCCGGAGCCGTCTGAAATTTCCACGGCTCCGCATCCCTGGTTACAGTGCTTAATATTTCTTTACATCCTTCAATTTACATGGATGGGCGGATGGACGGACGGATGGACGGCCTGACATACAAAGTCGTTCTTAACTTAAAGATTGCAGTGGTTAATAGTTCTTTTTATCTTTCAATCTTGGTAGATGACGACCTGGCGGCCACCTTGGTGATCGGTGGCGGCACGACGATTTCGGAGCTGCAGGATGGGCGCAACTCTGTGTCCGTTCACCCAGAAACCCAGTGCCTGGTCAGCGATGTGAAATATCGTCTCCCAAACAGTGAGATGAAGATGCTGGCTGCCTTCGCTGCGGCGCACGCTGTGCTATAGGTATTTGCCTTTTAAAGGACCCAGCATGATCCTTTTTGAGGTCATATATGCACTGGTTATGAAGTTCGCGATTCCTCCCAGTGCGGCCGAGAATGGCATGCTTCGTATAATCCACTGTTGCCGATTCAGAGGCACCAGTGCAGTGGTCGGGTGACCGAGCAGGGCCCTGTTTCACGGCACGGCACTACTGCATGCGCTACTAGTATCGCGGTATTGAGTTTCCATAGAAACATCTACAAACTTGGACGCTCCAACATTGAGAGCGTTCGAGTATGTGGATGTTTCCAATAGGAACTCAGCACCGCGATACACGTAACGCACTGTAGTGTCGTGCCGTGGAACATCTTCAGTACCTATAGGCACTGAAGATGATGTGAGTTGAGAAGGCCTCAGTCAGTTTTTTTTTACGGAGTTTTTGTTGTCAGTGCTTGCCTAGTTCGTACACATGTGCTTTGATTTCAGAGACCGTACGTTTGGTGTCGATACTCGTTACACGAAGAAATGCTCAGTTGTTTTTAAAGTACATGATGAAACGTGACTTAGTGACCTGATGACCTGTGCTGTGAATGAAATGTGATTTGTGCAGCTTGTGATATCCTCAGGGAAGTCAGTGTTGGGAGGAACCAATCTGTAGCAACCTGTGATCTGTCGTTTCAAGTTATTTTAAATAAACAACACGTTGGAGAGATGCACCATAGTTGACTTTATCGAAAGTGCTCAGAAGACGACAGTAGATACAATCACGCTGGGGGATAGTTATGGCTGGCGATGTATATTTACCCAGTCGTATTTTTACTCCCTCTGGAAAAGAACATACAATTATTATCTTTTACTTTTGTTTTGTATACGGATTATAACGTGAGCTATTTTTACATCTTGACTTAAATTGTACACATTCAGCTTCGCATCCCGCTGGTATTTCTACACCATGTCGCAAGGCGTAGAAATTGTTTTGGCTTAAATTGCACTGTGGCGTAAAATTATTATCGTAAATTACATGCTTAATTCTTCCTAACGCCCCTTTACACCCTTTACCTAGGGGTGTAAAATGAATTGATTTGGGGTGGAGATTTGTGTACCGTACTTTTATTCCGCAACGGGTGTAGTTCTAAGCTTACGAGGATATATTACTTACTACCGGGTGGCAGAATTAATCTCCAATTGTCCATGCAAACATCTTTTACTCTGGCATAAAATGAAGTTAAAAGGGGTGGAGATTTGTGTACCGTAATAATATTCCAATTTCAGGTGTAGTTTTTCTTTCAGTGTAGGTGCACAGAGTGAACAGTTTACCCTCGCACTTATAGGGGGCGGGGGGGGGGCTCGAACACCCCCGGTTTTTCGCGAATAGCTTGCGCAACAAGCGGCCTATCGCGACGAAACTTTCAGTACATTCTAGTTGATCAATAGTAGGTACACTACCCTAAAAATTTTATGACCCTAGTCTAAATGACCTTTGACCTGTGACCTATTTCTCGAGCCCGTGTCAGGACAAAATCGCGATTCGGCGTATGTCAGCGCAGATTATCTATGCGTTTCCAGACTTTTTGTCTCTTGTAAACGTAGTAACGTGAAATGATGGCAGCCCTAAGCATTGTTGGTGGCAAGGTCACGCATAGGTCAGTTCAAGGTCATGGACCTTAGATGATTGTGCACTTTTTTGAAGATGACAGCGAGTCTAGAACCCATTTGAACATTTGAGAAATAGTCTTGGTGGCAATGCAGCATGTTACGAAGCTGTCACTGGTGGTTAACACCTACTTTGGCTATGGCGGCGGGACACCTACTGGTTGACCTGACGAGAACTAACTCGACCTACGCCACATGCTAAAAAGGCATTCAGCCACTGGCGGATCCAGGGGGGGGCCACGGGGGCCATGCCCCCCCCCCCCCAAGGCCTAAAGTGGCCTGTTTGGCCCCCCCCCCAAAACGTAAGAAAAATTGCTAAGAAAATATACCTTGATGGAGGTTTTTAGCCACTTGGTGAAGTAAAGCTTTCCACAGCATAATATGGAAGCAATATGGTAGCAGTGAGGGTCAGTCAAAAGTTGCGCGAGTGGAGTCGACCTGCAAAAAAGACTTGTTGGCACGTGTTTATGGTGCGGTAGCTGGGAGTTGGCGGTGTTTCGCGTGGTGTGGCATCACTGGCGGATCCAGGGGGGGGGGGGGGCACGGGAGCCTGAGGTGCCCCTGACAGACCCGTGGTGCCCTTGGTAGGTCTGTGGTGCCCCTGGACCCTGGCAGGCCTGTGGTGCCTCTGGCGGGCCATGGATGAAGTATACCTGGATAGGACACTCCCTATTCCCCAACACTAGCGCCGGCGACCAAGCGGCCGCCCTGGTGGCGGAGCTCCGAAACATCGGCGGCGAGTGCGCCGGCGGCCGCCGCACCGGCTTGCGTGCTAAAAACGTGGTATTGGAGGGCGAAATTAGCGAACTTTAAGCTCACAAGACACGATTTCAGAGACTTCACACATATTTTAAGTTCTTTCTTATACTTATTATGGCTCCATTTAGTCACTATCACATACGGAATCATTACCTGATGCCCACAAACTGAGCCGGTATTCTTGACTTGCCGATGCAATTTATCATCAAATATCATCGTTCCTCAGCAGTCAAACAAGTTCCTATTGATGATTTAATACAAATATCAACTTATTTTCATGTTATCGCATAAAACTTCACTCTATTCTAACATTGGCTTTTCGGCTGTAATCACGAACCCTCACTTGTCAGCAGAATTTAAGCAACTTCTTAAATCAAAACTGGGAAAATAATATTTTCATGACATTCCTCAATTCCTGTTCTACCAGGTTCACAAAAATTTTCATCAAAATCGGCTACAGGTAAGTAATAAACGACAAAAGTATACAAAAAGACACGCTCCGCCCATAGCCCGTAATGCTAAAATGGCGCCAGCGCCCTCGCCGCCGGGAAATCCGCCGCCGCCGCCGGGTGGTCGGAAAATCGGCGGAGTGTCCCATCCAGGAATACCTAATCCATGGGCGGGCCTAGGGTGCCCCTGCTAGGCTGCTGATGCCCCTGGGACCTGACAGGACTGTGGTGCCCCTGACAAGCCTAAAGTGCCCCCAACAGGCCCGTGATGCCCCCGACAGGCCCAAGGTGCCCCTGCGTGATGCCGTGATGCCTGCGAGGCCGGTGGTGCCCCTGCGAGGTCGGTGGGGCCCCTGACAGGCCCATGGTGCCCCTGCGAGGCCGGTGGTGCCCCTGCTAGACCGGTGGTGCCCCTGGCAGGCCTGTGGTGCCCCTGCTAGGCCGCTGGTGCCCCTGGGCCCTGACAGGACTGTGGTGCCCCTGACAGGCCCAAGGTGCCCCTGTAAGGCCTGTGGTACACCTGCTAGGCCTCTGGTGCCCCTGACAGGCCCATGGTGCCCCTGCAAGGCCGGCGGCGCCCCTGGCAGGTCTCTGGTGTCCCTGACAGACCTGGGGTGCCCCTGACAAGCCTAGCCTGTGGGGCCCCTCACAGGCCCGTGGTGCCCTTGTTAGGCCTGTAGTGCCCCTGGCGGGCTGGTAGTGTCCCTGCTAGGCCGGTGGTGCCCCTGACAGGCCTGTGTTGCCCCCGGGCACCAAGGGGGGTCATGACCCATGTGGCCCCCCTTGGATCTGCCACTGGTACATATTATATTGATTTGTAATGGCGTTATGGCTTATGCAATATGCAATTGCAGGCACTTGGTATCCCTCACTTATCCCTCATTGGGGGCTCTGGCGGGCTCCTGAGGGCCCACGTCTATCTCCGGGAGCCCTTGACAGGCTCCTTTGGGTCCTTTCAGTCCACTATAGCATAAGAGGTCTCCATGCGAGTCCTATACATCTGAAGGCGTACCCTGACGTCTGAGGTACCCAACTGCAGCTCCAATGGTCTCTTACACTGGCGGATCCAGGGAGGGGGCATTTAGGGCCATGCCCCCTTCCCAGAGGCCTAAAGTGGCCCGTTTGCCCCCTCCCCCAAGCGATAATGAAGCACAGTTCAATCAGTGCCTGGCCCAGGAGCCGAGTTAGACCACCTCCCGTTTTACCACCTCCCGGCCCGCAAAGGGACCCAAGCACTGACTCGAAGCGGGTTAACTGGTCGACAAAAGCAATAGTAAGTGTTTACAAAGTAATATAAAGGCATGGGTCGGGTGGGCTACCATTTATATATTTTTATTTTTAGTTAAAAAAAAAAATCATAGTGTCAGGGCTGTGACGAAAAATAAGTGGCCTAAATCCGATGAGAAAACAGGATTTGGGGGTACCCTAGGTTTGGCTCCTGCATGAGTTGCCCCCCCCCCCCCAAAACGCAAGTCTGGATCCGCCAGTGCATTCAGCTTCACCGCAAATTTTGTGCTAGATAGATTTGAAGATGGAGGTTTGCAATTTCGAAAGTTTTATTTTTGACCGTCTGGAATGGCAATGTAAGGAGGTTACAAATACAAACTAATATGAAACACGAGTCAGGCACTGGTGGATCCAGAAAGGCGACGCTGCGGGGCTGCATATCCCCAAAAAGTTTCTACAAATTCCCAAAACCGATTGGATTTGGATTCCTTGTGCACTGCTGCGCCTGCGAAACTTAAAAGAAACTTTTCACATTAACTTAGTTAAGTTTTCGTTTTATTCTCGAATTAAACGCAAATTTTCGTCGATGCGTGCGCTGGGTGGGGGGAGGGGGTGATATTTGCCCCAAATCCTCTACCTCTGGATCCGCCAGTAGAGTTAGGTGGCCTACAAATTATTTGTTTTTAGTATAAAAAAACGTGTCAGGGCTGTGGCGAAAGACAAGTGACCTAAATCCGATGAGATAACAAGATTTGAGGTTTGGCACCTAGCTTTCGCACGGTGAAAATTCCTTAGAGGAGGCCCTGGTATGCCCCCGCGCCCAAGTCCCGGATCCGCCACTGATTGAGCATTAAATGACGAAAACAGTTCTACTGTATCTTCGCGGTAAAGCAGAGTTTTTGGACGCAGACTGCTTTACCACGAAGAA